TTTTTTTTAAATTGTGTAGTTTTTAGTCAGGAATTTAGTTAGCGTCAAAAATTTCGGGAGAAATTATTTATTTAAATAATATATTTAAAAAATGCACTTTTTTTTCAATTTTTCACCATAAATGCAGTTCGATTTTTTTGCAGCTTTGTATACTAAAAATATGGATCAAAATAGGGGATACATGTTTTTGGAATTTTTTGTTTATTACAATTTAGCAATAATTATTACATATACAATTTTCTCCTACTTTTTACGGAGAAATAATTTGAGATTTGTTTTCGAAGAGGGTCAGCCCTTTTTATGCGATAATCTGTTACGTTTTTAGCAATTAGACAATAATGGTGCTACTCTCGATTTCGCACATAATAAATGAACTATAAATTTATTATTCCTAGTTCGAGTCCGAATATAAATACATGCTCCATATGCCGATTCTGAAGCATCGCAAAATCCATGAAACTGTAATTGACTAACGTTCTTATCTATAACATGACGCTGTATGCTTATATTATTAATATTTCTTAATTCCTTATAAATACTTTGCCACAATGTATGTAGCTCCTGAGGCAGAGATTCATCCCAATCAAGTCGGAGTTCCCATAATTTCTGCAATATAATTTTTGCCTTAATTACAGTTGGACCAACAAGTCCAAGAGGATCGAATATCTGCGCTATTATCGACGTTACAGTACGTTTGGTAATTCTTTTATAATCTAGGTACTTTACATTGTATTTCAGTACATCAGTAACAGGATCCCAAAATAATCCCAACGTTTTGGGGTCCTTATCCAACAAAGGAATTGCCTCCTTGGGGGCGTTCTTATTGCCTGTTACAAGGCGAAGGTCGTTACTGGCCCATTTCCTTAATTCAAACCCTGCTGAACTCAGAGTGTTCGATAAATTAGTTTTTAATCTAATTGCGTCATCAACGCTATCCGTGCCAGTTAACAAGTCGTCCACATAAAAATCATGACGTATAACATAACTTGTAATTGGATCCTTTTCCCCTAATTCGTCGCTCAGTTGTTGTAAACAACGCGTTGCTAAAAATGGTGCAGAAGCCGTGCCATAAGTTACGGTATTCAATTCGTAATATTTCATTGGCGTGTTGATGTCTGATCGCCATAAAATTAATTGGAATGCTCTATCACGCTCGTTAACCAAAATCTGCCTGTACATTTTTGCAATGTCCGCGGATAATACAAAACTATGTTTCCTAAACCGTACCAATATTGTAAAAAGGTCATCCTGTACTGTTGGTCCAATGTGTTGCACATCGTTAAGTGACAATGATGAGGAACTCTTCGACGAGCCATCAAAAACAACACGTAGCTTGGTTGTTGTACTGTCTTCCTTAACGACTGCGTGATGTGGTAAATAAAAATGCGATGTATTTGTGTACTTCGATGGCGATATTTCAGTCATGTGTCCAAGTGCTTCGTATTCTTCCATAAAGGCGGTATATTGTTTCTTGAGTTCTGGATTTTTTGATAGTTTCCGTTCCATGGCATAGACTCTTTTTTCTGCTCCTTTCAGAGAATCTCCTAATTCTGATACATTATTCTTAAATGGGATGCTAACTATGAAACGTCCGGTTTCATCTCGTTTTGCACTTTGAATAAAATGTTGTTCACTATAGTCCTTTGTTTTTGTGGTTGAATTAGTTGGTATAAAACAATGCTCCAGCTTCCAAAAACGTTCAAGTTGATTATCTAAATCTTGATTCTTGACTAAATTACATACTAATTTCCTCGGAGAATTGAGACATATATTCCCGGCAATAATCCATCCAAGTACAGTCTTATGGAGAACTAATTCAGTATCTTTAATGAAGATTTGCCCTACTGAAAGGAGTCGCAAAAACAATGAAGCACCTATAATTAAATCTACTGGTCCAGAACAATTATAATCTGGATCAGCCAATTCCAAACCCTTTGGTATCTGTATATCCGTTGTGTTAATATGTGTACTGGGAATATTACTGCTTATTTTGTCTAATACAACACAAGTGATGGTTGCTGAGAAGTTAGTAGTCCGGGAACCGATTTTCATTGTGGCTACATAATTTACGTGTACTGATCCTTGTTCAATACCCGTAAGAGCGAGGTTGCTTCTTGTTTTTGAAAGTCCTAAACGATTGAATAATGCGGTAGTCATAATATGCAGTTCAGATCCTGAATCCAAAAGTGCTCTGCATTCATGCCTTTGTCCACGGCAATCATAAATATATAATTTGGCTGTAGTTTTTTTTAAATTGTGTAGTTTTTAGTCAGGAATTTAGTTAGCGTCAAAAATTTCGGGAGAAATTATTTATTTAAATAATATATTTAAAAAATGCACTTTTTTTTCAATTTTTCACCATAAATGCAGTTCGATTTTTTTGCAGCTTTGTATACTAAAAATATGGATCAAAATAGGGGATACATGTTTTTGGAATTTTTTGTTTATTACAATTTAGCAATAATTATTACATATACAATTTTCTCCTACTTTTTACGGAGAAATAATTTGAGATTTGTTTTCGAAGAGGGTCAGCCCTTTTTATGCGATAATCTGTTACGTTTTTAGCAATTAGACAATAATGGTGCTACTCTCGATTTCGCACATAATAAATGAACTATAAATTTATTATTCCTAGTTCGAGTCCGAATATAAATACATGCTCCATATGCCGATTCTGAAGCATCGCAAAATCCATGAAACTGTAATTGACTAACGTTCTTATCTATAACATGACGCTGTATGCTTATATTATTAATATTTCTTAATTCCTTATAAATACTTTGCCACAATGTATGTAGCTCCTGAGGCAGAGATTCATCCCAATCAAGTCGGAGTTCCCATAATTTCTGCAATATAATTTTTGCCTTAATTACAGTTGGACCAACAAGTCCAAGAGGATCGAATATCTGCGCTATTATCGACGTTACAGTACGTTTGGTAATTCTTTTATAATCTAGGTACTTTACATTGTATTTCAGTACATCAGTAACAGGATCCCAAAATAATCCTAGCGTTTTGGGGTCCTTATCCAACAAAGGAATTGCCTCCTTGGGGGCGTTCTTATTGCCTGTTACAAGGCGAAGGTCGTTACTGGCCCATTTCCTTAATTCAAACCCTGCTGAACTCAGAGTGTTCGATAAATTAGTTTTTAATCTAATTGCGTCATCAACGCTATCCGTGCCAGTTAACAAGTCGTCCACATAAAAATCATGACGTATAACATAACTTGTAACTGGATCCTTTTCCCCTAATTCGTCGCTCAGTTGTTGTAAACAACGCGTTGCTAAAAATGGTGCAGAAGCCGTGCCATAAGTCACGGTATTCAATTCGTAATGTTTCATTGGCGTGTTGATGTCTGATCGCCATAAAATTAATTGGAATGCTCTATCACGCTCGTTAACCAAAATCTGCCTGTACATTTTTGCAATGTTTGCAGATAATACAAAACTATGTTTCCTAAACCGTACCAATATTGTAAAAAGGTCATCCTGTACTGTTGGTCCAATGTGTTGCACATCGTTAAGTGACAATGATGAGGAACTCTTCGACGAGCCATCAAAAACAACACGTAGCTTGGTTGTTGTACTGTCTTCCTTAACGACTGCGTGATGTGGTAAATAAAAATGCGATGTATTTGTGTACTTCGATGGCGATATTTCAGTCATGTGTCCAAGTGCTTCGTATTCTTCCATAAAGGCGGTATATTGTTTCTTGAGTTCTGGATTTTTTGATAGTTTCCGTTCCATGGCATAGACTCTTTTTTCTGCTCCTTTCAGAGAATCTCCTAATTCTGATACATTATTCTTAAATGGGATGCTAACTATGAAACGTCCGGTTTCATCTCGTTTTGCACTTTGAATAAAATGTTGTTCACTATAGTCCTTTGTTTTTGTGGTTGAATTAGTTGGTATAAAACAATGCTCCAGCTTCCAAAAACGTTCAAGTTGATTATCTAAATCTTGATTCTTGACTAAATTACATACTAATTTCCTCGGAGAATTGAGACATATATTCCCGGCAATAATCCATCCAAGTACAGTTTTATGGAGAACTAATTCAGTATTTTTAATGAAGATTTGCCCTACTGAGAGGAGTCGCAAAAATAATGAAGCACCTATAATTAAATCTACTGGTCCAGAACAATTATAATCTGGATCAGCCAATTCCAAACCCTTTGGTATCTGTATATCCGTTGTGTTAATATGTGTACTGGGAATATTACTGCTTATTTTGTCTAATACAACACAAGTGATGGTTGCTGAGAAGTTAGTAGTCCGGGAACCGATTTTCATTGTGGCTACATAATTTACGTGTACTGATCCTTGTTCAATACCCGTAAGTGCGAGGTTGCTTCTTGTTTTTGAAAGTCCTAAACGATTGAATAATGCGGTAGTCATAATATGCGGTTCAGATCCTGAGTCCAAAAGTGCTCTACATTCATGCCTTTGTCCACGGCAATCATAAATATATAATTTGGCTGTAGATAACATTGTAACCTTTGTCCCTTTTTGTATGACGCGAGCTGTTAATGATTGGTTTATGACCTCTGAAGGACTTGACGTGCCTTCGCTCGGTTGCATGGTATTTTCTACCTGCTTTAAACCTTCAGTAGGAGCACCTGTAACTTGTACCTGCAACGACCCTGTGGTATTTACACTTGGGTTGTCTAAATGAATCAGAGAATTATGCTTCTTGCCGCACTTTCGGCAAGGTCCGAAGGTACACTCTCGATTTCTGTGACCATCACCCAAACAATTAAAACATAATTGATGTTCCCTGATTTTCTGCAAACGAGCGGCCGTCGGCATACTCTTGAAAACTTCGCACGTGTAAATCGGATGTGTCCCTTTACAAACAATGCATGCCTTTTTGTTCGCGACTGTTGTGTATGTTTTCACTTGCTTTAACTTTGTGGGAATCGATGGTACATTAACTTTTTTAATTTTAACATCATTAAATTTTATTTTATCAGTCTCAGAATTTTGCAAAAATTTGATATGCCTTTCTAGAAAATTGCTGAACTCTTTGAAGGTTGGCTCTGTTGTCGAATTCGCCAATGTTCTTCCCCATTCGCGTTTCATGTAAATATTCAATTTCGATGTTAATAAATAAATGATTAGCTGGTCCCAGTATTCCGTTCTCTTTCCTAACGTTCTTAATGCAAGTAAGTGATTATTCGTGTTATCTAACAACTGACGCAATTTCGAATATGTTGATTCGCGTGTCAAAACGGGAGCTTCGAATAGTGCTTGAACATGGTGGTGAATTAAAGTGTTCGGATCTTCATAACGAGACTTTAACCCTTCCCACGCTAACAAATAATTCGCTTCTGAAACACCTAGAGCCTCTATAGTGCGATCAAATGCCTAGAGCTTCAATAGTACGAGCTGCATCTGCAGTCAATGCTGAATTCAAATAATTTTCTGGATATTGCTCAGTCCCGTATACTCATGGATTAATGACCTAAATGTGTCACGAAACTTTATCCAATTACTGACCGTGCCATCAAAAGTCGGCAATACTAATTTTGGAAGACTAACCCCTATTGGGCCTGCTTCTGAATGAAGTGCGGGCGATTCGGGAATATTCCAATGGTTGGAAAAGGCGTCGGCAGTCCGTAGCGAACAGCGAAAACGTGAATAGCGAAAAGAAGCGAATCATTAGTAATTTATATAATAAAGTATATTCATATGTATTTATCAGTATAGCGACTGAGGTATTATTCAACGCCATCTAATTACTATCCTACAATATGTCGAATCGCGTGTCAAAATGAGTGCTTCAAATAGTGCTTGAACATGATGGTGCATTAAAGTGTGCGGGTCTTCATAGCGAGACTTTAAGCTTTCGCCTTTCAAATGCCTAGAGCTTCAATAGTACGAGCTGCATCTGCAGTCAATGCTGAATTCAAATAATTTTCTGGATATTGCTCAGTCCCGTATACTCATGGATTAATGACCTAAATGTGTCACGAAACTTCATCTAATTATTGACCGTGTCATCACAAGTCGGCAATACTAGTTTTGGAAGACTAACCCCTATTGGGCCCGCTTCTGAATGCAGTGCTGGCGATTCGGTAGCACTACGAGATACCGATTCCAAAGAAGGTACAATGGATTGCTTACTCATTATAAATCCTTTTGCTTTACCAATTACCTTATGGTAGCTATCTTCGGAAATGTTAATTTCCTCTTCTTCGCGTAAATGTTTTTCACGTTCAAAATCTTCACGCGTTCGAACGGTTTCATCTAAATCGACTTCATCAAGTGATTCTATTTCCTCTTGCATTGCTTCGAATTTATTCAATAACGGAATGGCTTTGTCTAATCGTAACTGTAAGTCCTCAATATCTGACAACGATATAAACATGTCCAAATAATTATTGAAAAGCGTTAAGGTTGATTTGATAATTGCCCTCTTTTTCCTTAGAGCTTCCATTGTATACAATTTAATAACATAAGTCGCGGATTAGAAAAATAGGAGAAGAAAGGAAATAAATCGGAGACTCACCGAGTTTTACGATGGTGAAATCAGGCTGGCCTTGCTGCTGGCTGCTGATTTCTGCTACCTGCTGTGCTGCGTTCTATCCTCGTCCAATAGGTCTACAGAGTAGGTGCTGGATATGCTGATACTTGATGTGTCTCGTCGTATCAACACAAGATTCAAATTCACTAATTTAATCAAAGTTCACAAAATGTCACAGTCCTTCAAAACAGTTCAGTTCTTGTATTATGCAAAGTCCAATTGTACATTCAAATGATTTATATTCTAATGACTATCCTTGTTGTGTCACAATATAATAATAATGATTGTTCGATAATAATCACTGATCACGCACAGTTGATTCAAAGTTCGTTCTTTTTCGTATCCGGCTCGAAGGACCAATGTTTGTGCACCCGGAAATTTTAAGTAAATATCGAGATGCACTGTGTAAAAGTGCTTTAATTTAAAACTAAAAACTTGTAAAAATTACAACCAAGTTTCAATGAATTAACAACTATAAATTGTTCGAGAGTTCGCTCGTAAAAAATGCTGAATGACAGGAGTACGCCTGTGTACGATATTCGGTCACGAGTCCGCGCGACGTGGTTAACAACGTTCTTAAATTGTTCTGTACGATTCTTAATGATTCTGAGATATTCTGTCCTATCTTCTGAAAAACAGTCCTTTTATTAACTTTTTGGAGGGCTGTCAATGGGGGCGACTTCTGTGATTTCTTGCGTTCCTGTTCAGCAAAAGGGCGGTCATCTTTTCCGCGATTCGTAAAAAAATGCACGCCTCTGGTCCCTCAGATACAGCATAAGTGGCGCGGCTAGAAAGTCCAAAACACTTCACCCTGAAGCAGAGCACCCCATGACCCATCCTGAATAAGTACAGATGGCCAAATTTATGGCCCACTAAAACCATTTAGTTTTTAAGCGATGTTTTTCCTAAGCTAATAAATTATTCCTAACTACAATAAGTCCTCGTCCTGGCTTGCACGTGTGAAGTTTACAATGTTCACAATTTACGAACTTTCTAAAATACAAGTCCAAACAATTGGGACAGCAGATTTTGTTTTTTCTTTAGTGACAGTAGTGACAGTGACAGCAGACCCTGTCTCCCCTCAAGTAAGAGAGGACTGGGGTGGGGTGATCAAGTTGGGGGAACTCAAACTCCCCCCCCCAACTTATATAAGTTTTAATTAACTTAATAATCTTAGTTTTTTGTGTGGTATGGGGTAGTCAGAGGAGGGGGATGAGGCCTTTTTTTTCGAGTGTTCGGGTTACTTTTACGGGGATAGGTCCCTTTCTTTGACAGGATTCTATGAGGTTATGGGGAGGTGCGTAGCACCCGTTAGTTAGTATCTCTTAGCTAGAGAGAGATACAACCGAGCCTAACACCCCCTGGGGGGCGGCCCCTTCTAAGTATGGCAACACGACCGTGAGGATATTTACAGAGCGCGTCTGTACTTTGTTATATCGATGACCATAAATTAAGAGCGAAATTTAAACTATCTGAGCGTGCGATCATGTACAATAGACAAAGCTTATATTGTTAAAGCCACTCGACGTGGGTGTTCATGCTTGGGAAAGTTTGGGAATCCAGAGAATAAACGTAGCTTCACTTTGAATGTTTGTAGAGATTAATTTATTAGGGACCGTATCGAATATGTTGTTTTCGACTAAGTCGCGTACAGTTCTTGAAGGTTTCAAGATCTCTCACGAATATCCTGTCTTTTCATGCACTCGAAGAGGGTCGTAAATTTTCGCCTAATACAAGGACTTTGTTTTCGCGTTCTCTGGGTCTCACGCTTTCTCTAAGCACATGTTCAATGTTACGTTCCCGCGTCTTGGCGGAGCCTCCACCACCACGCGGCTGAGGGTGGACCACAGCCAGGAGAAGGGGCCCACATCGGACGGGGGTGGACTCCTCCACCATTGGACAAGGGATGATCCTGAGGGAGGATCCAGGATCCAGCGAGGAAGGGGCATCGATCCGCATCATCCGAAGATCTCCTCCGCCAAGCGCAGAACGATCAGACTAATTTTGTATTCCTTACGCACCAGTTCGCTTTATAAACAGTACTTTGATAATTTTCTAAATAAATAGTTGGACTTAGTTTTTCTTCAATTCAAACCTGTTTCAATTATTTCTACGCACCGCGAGCAGAGCGCCTCAGCGCTCCACGGGTTAACTTACCCACATCCCAAAATCCCTAGACTGCGGACGGCAGACGCAACAGATGTGAGATATGTGTAGTGGCGGAATGAGCCGGCATGTCGGCCAAAACGCCATCTTCTCAGGAAGAAAATAAAAAACTAAAACTAAAACTAAAATAAAGAATAGAACAAACCAAACTAAACCAAAACTCTGAAAATTCCTAGATCAGTTATTTTTAGTTCTTAGGTTAAGTTGTACATACAGTTGGTAAGAGTAGTTTGTAAGGAACGCGCGCTAAATTTAACAAAATTTAGTTCCATTTTTACATAAAAAAAAATCAGTAGTACAGAAGGAATATTACAATATTTGTTATAGAATCACATTCACTCAGATCAATTTTCATTAAAAATTATGAAGTTAAATTACGTTGCTTAGAACCATCTAATAGAAGATGAAAATCCAAGGAAAAGATTTAATGCCAATTTTCGGTATGATGTATAATTTTGTATAATTAATTCTTGAAATCCACCTATCAGTAAAAAACGTGACAGCAGAATGCTACAGCAGTCGACACTTTAAATACCATTTCATTATTAGTTTTATCACTCTATGAAGTGATAAAACAATTCAAACAAACAAAAAGATAGTATGTTTCATAGCAATTTTTTTATGTCTGCTAATAAATACATCACTCTGTATTAAATTCTAATATTTGTATATATTTATTCATTTCCAACGTAAATCCTTACGTAATTAACAATGCATGTATATAAAAGAAAATAATATTATGGCATAACTCAATACTTTTTTACATAAAACAAAAAACCATGATTCCACTGTTTAAGACTTTCTGATGGATAACCAAAATACTATATTCTGTTTGATACTTTTTAAACACATATCTGCAATGTATTTCATCATTCATTGCACATAAATAGTTAAAAATGATAGTATTCCATGCTTTAATTTTTCGAACATGTAATTAATTTCATAAAATAAAAAGTAGAAAACATAATGTTGCAAAAGAAATATAGTGAAGTTAAATAATTTATGCAGACTATGGAATAAATTTGTAAGAAATTTTTTGACAAATATAAAATATTATATTTATAGTTGCTTCTTTGAATACAAATAATTTCTGCTATAGATGTCTATATTAAATTTAATTATACATCTGAATTATCATCATAATCACTGCTATTATTATCATCTTCAGTAATTGCTAATGATTTTAATTTCAGTAATAAATTTTCTCTGTAAGTACCTGTACAAGTTTCAATTTTTTCTTGTTCTTCTTCTTCGCTTGGACTTTTCGTACTCTTACCTTTTATAGAGCCATCTTTATGATTTGTAGCTAAAAAGTAAGATTATCATATTTGATCAATATCGATTTTATTATCTGTTATTATACAGGATGACCTGGATTTTAATGAACAAACCAGAGGGGTATATGCAAGTGAAAATAAGACAAAAATATTATTTGATGTTTGCTCAAATGCGCCTTATTACATAGTTATAAATAAATATTTAGAACTGATAGCAGTGAATTTTACTTTACTGAATATTGAAAGATCAAAGTGTTTAGCACATTACTTCAAAATGTTGTCCTTGGATGCAAATACAAGTTTGACATTGATTTTTTATAGAGCTTATTACAAAGTAAATCTCTTTACAATTTTGTTGCATTTTAGCAATGGAGATATTAATTCATTGCTTTAATTCTTCATACAAAGTAACTTCTGCACTGTAAGCTCTATTTTTTACAGTTCCCTATAAATAAAAATCAAGAGAAGTTAAATCGAGGGATTTTGAACACCATAAAACTGGCCCTCCTCTACCAATCTACCTGTCATCATAATTTTCATTTAACCAATTTCTAGCTGGTCTTGCATAATGTGATGGACAACCATCAAACTGTATCAAACTGTTTTGTCGAAGCATTAGCGGCCTGTCTCCCATCAAAATTGGTAAATCATTAAATAAGAATCTTTGAAAAAGCAGCCCATTCAATCTCTCTCAGGCAGAAAGAAAGAGCCAATAAGCTGTTCAATAAGCATACTCATCTAAATATTACATTGAAAATTGTGTTGAAAATTTCTTTGTCACATAAAATATGGATTATTGTGGGCCCATACATGATTGATATGAAAATTGAATATGCCCTGTCTTGTAAAAGTTGCTTCATCTGTCCATAATATCCTTAATGGGACAAATTCATCCATATGTTTTACATTTACATACCAGTCACAAAATTCAACTTGTTTCCAGTATAATCAGATGGTTGTAAATCATAAACAGGTGTACAATGATATGCTCGTTGAATATTTTGCATGGGAGTATTATCAAACAAATTTAGGATCTTTCCATTCATCATTGCTGTCCTATCGTTAATTGAACATCATGATATTCATTCCTATATCTAAATAAACCCAAAATTCTAGAATTGCCAATGTGTATTAACAAATACAAAGGGATGAAATACTCTTCTTCCAGGAAATCTACATTCATACTCTCTTATACCAGCTAAAAAGTTTCTGTCATAAAATTTATACATGAAATAAATATTAGTGTATTTCTCATTTGAAAACACTCTAGGCATTTTCCTTATGTATTATATTTTTGATCTAATTGGTCATTAACACTAACAACATGATATGAATAAACAAATAATATGAACATGTTCGACTTTACAATGTTCGTTAAACTAAAATCGGCTGTTATTAATTTTAACTTTATTTTTTTATAACTGTGTACTAAAGCATTTCTAAGCAAACTTCAAATAACACTTTTTTGCATATTTTCACTTGTAGAATATATTTCCCAAGTTTGTCCAATAAAATCCAGTATACACTACATATACAGAGTAACCCAATTAAAGTGTGTAATGTCCAGGTTGTAAGCTCTTCATACCAAAAGAAATAAAAAAATCCTTTGTCATTTTGTAAATTGCAATTTCATTTCCAAGCTATAAGCTATTAAAAATTAGGTATTCCTGATATGTGGATATAGGAAAATGCATATACAAACATGTACACACATACACATGAAATAATAAATTTTCAATTGTTTATACCTAAAAAATGAAGTTACAAATTGTACAATAGTAACAAACTTTTTGATTTCTTTTGGTATAGAGAACTTATAATCTAGAGGTTACATGCTTTAACCGCAATACCCTTTATAATACTAAATGGAATGAACATTACCTTGCTGATTCATATAACGTATAAATGTTCTGCGTTTTCGTTCAGATAATCCTTTGAGAATATTTTGTAACTCTGCATCCAACTTAAGGGTTTCTTTACTTGATTTTCCCTCAACAATATTACCTTTTTCACCACATTTTGGGCAAACTTCTAATTGATTAGCACAAGGTAAACATATTTTATGATAAGCATTACTTATTGTTTTCTGTTCACATTTTATGCATTTTGATAAGGTTTTTAATGGCTTATATTTCTTATATTTAATTTTCCATTCAATTATTTTTTTACATCTTTCACACACATTTAAAACTTCAATTTTATTAATAAGCTTTGTCTTGTTTGATTTATCATACAGATTATTTTTAAAAGCGCTTTTGTTTTGATACTTTTGTGGCCTTGATCGGCTGGAATTTCCTTTCTGGGTACTCATATTTGTACTTAACTTGCACTTTAGATATTTATTACTTAAAATCTAAAATGTTTAACGTTTTGTATAAATGTAAAATTTATATTAATACAATGTAACCAATGACATTTAAAATATAATTTTAGTAAAATTAAATTTACAAACACATGGTTACTGTTTAAACATATTATCCAACATTATTTTCATAAATTATATTTACATTTCGCTGCACGTGGTTTACGACACATCATACCGCAACCACAGTATAAGAAAGCATTCTTATACTGTGCCGCAACATAGACTACGTTTCCATCGAGGGTCCAAATCGGGTCAGAGTCGGGTTAGAGTTATGTTGCCTTGCCTGTTTCCATCGGATCAGAGTTACGTTGGGGTTGGAGTTGGGTTGAACATTACCAACTGCACAAAATCAACTGCCATATTGTGACATGTAAAGCTGAGCAATATTAATTTTACAATATCAAAATAACATACAAAAATTATTTCTCAGATTACAAGATCACCGACAAAAAGTAATAATAACCTCTTCTACACCAATTAATACAGCACGTGATACACAATGCAATTTGGATTTGTTATGTTGGCAACATGAACTCGACTCTTGTCGTTTCCACCGAACCTCAACTGAACGCTACCCTAAAATTTTGTAGGGTAGAGTTCAACTAAACCTTTGGCGTTTCCACCGTACAAGCGCTGACCCCAACCCGACTCTAACCCGACTCTGACCCGATTTGGACCCTCGATGGAAACGTAGTCTATG